TTTGCCATCTGTGTCTCCATTGGGGAGATTTCCCTTCACTTCCTGTCCCATAACTAGAACAGGAAGTGAGAGGAAATCCCTCCAAAGTGAGGAAAGCGCCAGATCCCCACAGGAAGATTTCCCCTTTTATTCCTATTCTGGTGACAACCCAAAATTTGGGATTTTTCGATAATAACAGGACTAAGGGCCGGATCACACTATAAAAACGCAGTCCAGATGTGTTCCGGATGCATTTTTGCATGCGCTTTTTTGGCGCGTTCCAGTGTGTTTTTGATGCGTTTTTGACACGTCCCAGTGCGGTTTTTATGCATTATTATTATACAAGGATTTATATAACACCAACAGTTTGCTCAGCGCTGTACATTATAATGGGAGACGTAACAATACAATACACGAGGGGTTCGAGGGCCCTGCTCCTTGGAGCTTACAATCTCGGAGGGAGGGGGTAGAGGTACAGGAGGAAGTGGCTGTGGGGGATGGAGTGGTGGGAGGAGTGGAGGAGATCGGCTGTTAGGTGAGGTTGGGGTAGGCTTCTCTGAAGAGACGGGTTTTCAGGGTGTGCCTAAAGTGAGGAGGGTAGGTGACAGTCTGATGGATTGGGGTAGTGAGTTCCAGAGGATGGGGGAAGCCCTGAAGAAGTCCTGGAGGCGGGCATGCATACATTCCAGTTCATTTTTCCCCCTTTCTTTTCTTCAATATAAATAGGGACACATGCGTTCCATTGCGGTTTTGGTGCGTTGCAGTGCGTTTTACCTCGTTCCAGTACAGTTCTGTGCAGAAAACAATGCAGCCTGTTATACTTTTTTTTTTTCTGCAACCGGAACGCACTGGAACTGCAAGCGCTGATGTGAACTGTGACACTGACAACCATATCACCAACTTTCTGTGCATTTTGGATGCAGAAAAAAAGCAACTGAAACGCATGGAGTGTGAACTGGTCCTTAGCCCTGGTTCACACTGAAGCAGCGCTTTCTGTGTGAATTCCGCAACGCATCAGAATCACACCCCGTTCATGCGAACCGCTGCGGGTGTGTATGTCAGCAACACCCCAAAAGCGGTCCGCAAAACGCGGTGTGATGTGCAGAATCGGATCGTATAGGTGTGTATACCCATGCGATCCAATTCTAGTGCGGACCCAAAAAAGGGTCCTGCACCTTTCTGGTGTGGGTGCGGTGTGATTAGAGCCATACAGAATGTATGACTCGAATCGCACCGCACACAAATCGCATGTGATTGGCACAGGAACTTTTTTTTTTCTTCTGCAGCCGGAACGCACTGGAACTGCATGCGCTGATGTGAACTATGACATTCACAACCATATCACCTACTTTCTGTGCATTTTGGATGCAGAAAAAAAGCAACTGAAACGCATGGAGTGTGAACTGGCCCTAAGGATGTGGTTCACACCTATGCAGTTTGCATTTGATTCCGTTTCTGCAGTGCGTTTTGTGGTGCGTTTTGACATGCGTTTTTTTTTTTCTCATTTTTTTACTTGTTGCTGGGCAGATTAAAACACAAAACTGCATCAAAAACGCACCACACACTTTTCTGCCTCATCTCCATTGAAGTCTACAGAACCAAAAACGCAACGTTTTGCTTTTCAGCCTGGCTGGAGTTTGGCTTCAATTTGTTAGTGTATCTAAATCTGCTAGTACATCTAACACTCCCGTCTCCCCAGACGGACAATGATGCCGTTCCAAAGGTTCCCCCTGTGCGCTTTTAGCCCGGGTTCACATATATGTGCGGTGCGGGTATATGCATGTGATTCGCAGCACTGCATTCCGCATCCCATGCGATTTGTGTGCGTGCGATCGGAGCGTACATTTTGTATGGCTCTAATGCACCGCACCCGCACCAAAAAGGTGCAGGACCCTTTTTTTGGGTTCGCACTAGAATCGGATCACATGGGTATTCAAACCTATGAGATCGATTCTGTACATTCTGTACTGCATTTTGCGGACCGATTTGGGGTGTTGTTAACATACACACCCGCAGCGGTTCGCATGAACGGGGTGCAATTCTGATGCGTGTGCGGAATTCACACAGAAAACGCTGCAAATTCCGCACCGCATCAGTGTGAACCCGGGCTTAGTCTTCTTTTTCTTTATTTTCACCTGGTGATCCAGCCAGTAAGTTTGTTGTTTTTCAACAGAACAAGCTGTCCTGCGGATGTAGCAGTTAGAGGGGTTGAGGCAAAACATTTACCACGGACAGTGCTGCTTACAAGGATCATTTATTTATTGATGTAAAACCTTTATCCTAAAAGAAAAAAACTGATGTGACTGATTAGCTGGAGTTTGGCTTCAATTTGTTAGTGTATCTAAATCTGCTTGTACACCTACCACTCCCGTCTCCCCAGACTGACAATGATGCTGTTCAGAGGTGCCCCCTGTGCGCATTTAGTCTAGGTTCACACCTATGCGTTTTTCTAAAATGCACAGCAGTCCATTGAACATGATTTCCTATGGGACGGGTTCACATCTCCGTGTTTTTCACCTGGTGCGTTTTTTTGGAAAGGGTCAGCCCTGGTTCACAGTGATGCAGTGCGGAATTTGCAGCGTTTTCAGTGTGAATTCCGCACCGCATCAGAATCGCACCCCGTTCATGCGAACCACTGCGGGTGTGTATGTTAACAACACCCCAAAAATGGTCCGCAAAACGCGGTGCGGTGTGCAGAATCAGATCTCATAGGTGTGAATACCCGTGCGATCCGATTCTAATGCAGACCAAAAAAAAGGGTCCTGTACTTTTTGGTGCGGGGTGCGGTGCGATTAGAGACATACAGAATGTGCGGCTCAGATCACACCACATACAAATCACATGTGATATGTACAGGAATGCGGTGCGGTTTCTGTGTGAATCACATGCGATATACCGCACCCCACATATGTGAACCCGGGCTAAATGCACACAGGGGGAACCTCTGAACAGCAGCATTGTCAGTCTGGGGAGACAGGAGTGTTAGATGTACTAGCAGATTTAGATACACTAACAAATTGAAGCCAAACTCTAGCCAGGCTGAACAGCAAAACGATGTGTTTTTGGTTCTGTAGACTTCAATGGAGATGAGGCAAAAAAGTATGTGGTGCGTTTTTGATGCAGTTTTGTGTTTTAATCTGCCCAACATAAGTAAAAAAAACACATCAAAAACGCACCACACAAAAACACACTGCAGAAAAGGATCAAAGAGATGAGGCAGAAAAGTATGTGGTGCGTTTTTATTTTTGTGTTTTGTGTTTTAATCTGCCCAGCAACAAGTAGTGTTAGATGTACTAGCAGATTTAGATACACCAACAAATTGAAGCCAAACTCCAGCTAATCAGTCACATCTGTTATTTTTTTCTTTTTTTTCTTTTGGGATAAACGTTTTACATAAATAAATAAAAACTGATCCTTGTAATCAACACCATCCGTGGTGAATGTTTTGCCTCACCCCTCTAACTGCTACATCTGCAGGACAGCTTGTTCTGTTGAAAACCAACAAACTTACTGGCTGGATCACCAGGTGAAAATAAAGAAAAGAAAGACTAAAAGAAGAAAGCTAATGCAGCCACCACACCTAAGAATTGGTAAGCTGCACTATAATAAATGTTTTCTTTCAGCCCGGGTTCACACTGATGCGGTGAGGAATTTGCAGCGTTTTCTGTGCGAATGCCGCACCGCATCAGAATCGCACCCGTTCATGCGAACCCCAAAATTAGTCCGCAAAATGCAGTGTGATGTGCAGAATCGGATCTCATAGGTGTGAATACCCATGCAATCCGATACTAGGGCGGACCAAAGAAAGGGTCCCGCACGTTTTTGGTGCAAAAATCGGATCACATAGGTGCGAGTGATTATGGGCGGACCAAAAAAGGGTGCGGGATTTCCTTTAGAGCCATACAAAATGTACGACTCCAATCGCACCGCACACAAATCACATGTGATTGGCACAGGAATGCGGTCCCATAGGGAATCATGTTAAATGGACTGCTGTACGTTTCCGCAAAACGCAGCAGAAATCGCATAGGTGTGAACCTAGACTAAAAGCGCACAGGGGGAACCTCTGAACGGCATCATTGTCAGTCTGGGGAGACGGGAGTGTTAGATGTACTAGCAGATTTAGATACACTAACAAATTGAAGCCAAACTCCAGCCAGGCTGAACAGCAAAACGATATGTTTTTAGTTCTGCAGACTTTAATGGAGATGAGGCAAAAAAGTATGTGGTGCGTTTTTGACGCATTTTTGATGTGTTTTGTGTTTTAATCTGCCCAGCAACAAGTAAAAAAAAATGAGAAACACATCAAAAATGCATGTGCAAAACGCACACACAAAACGCACTGCAGAAACGGATCAAACACAAACTGCATAGGTGTGAACCAAGCCTTAGGACCAGTTCACACTCCATGCGTTTCAGTAGCCTTTTTTAGTATGTGGTGCGTTTTTGACGCATTTTTTATGTGTTTTGTGTTTTAATCTGCCCAGCAACAAGTAGTGTTAGATGTACTAGCAGATTTAGATACACCAACAAATTGAAGCCAAACTCCAGCTAATCAGTCACATCTGTTTTTTTTTCTTTTAGGATAAAGGTTTTACATAAATAAATAAAAACTGATCCTTGCAAGCAACACTGCCCGTGGTAAATGTTTTGCCTCAACCCTCTAACTGCTACATCCGCAGGACAGCTTGTTCTCTTGAAAACCAACAAACTTACTGGCTGGATCACCAGGTGAAAATAAAAGAAAGACGAAAAGAAGAAAGCTAATGCAGCCACCACACCTCAGAATAATCTGCACTACAATAAATGCTTCTCTTTGCACCTCTGGCGTGTTCTCAGTGCTGAGCATACAGGGCGTCCATTGCTATGAGGAAATGATGTCAGTGCTTGTGTGTATCACCTATGGGGGAGGGGGTCATGTGACTGCAGGGAAGGCTCATAGCATGTGATGTGCGGCTTTTTATTCCAGTTGTATAGGGAGGTAGAGGCAGTGCTTGGGGGAGCCTGAGAAGAGCCGCACAATGGGGATCGCAGCCTGCACTTCCAAAACCTTCCTGATCCTCATCAGCCTTGTCTTCCTGGTGAGTCCACACCGACCCATCTACCCATCAGCTCCAATTCACAAACCTTTCCTTCAGGGAGATCGGATTTATATTCGACCATCCGCTGAATATAACTGTCACTTGTTCTTGTAGGACCCGTCTTCCTTTGTATTGGCTTTGTGAGCGATTTGTCTGCTGGCTAGTAATGGACACAAAGCCGGGCCGTCCATAAGAAGGGCCCTTTGTTATAATGCTGAGAAATCGCAGGAGCTCACCCAAACGCTGAGGCTTGGAGGACCTTCTCTTTTGTTTTTTAATCTTCAGAATGAGAATATCGATTGACCAATCTCTTTTTTTTTTTTTTTTTTTTTTTAAATATATTTTTATCTTAGGTACTTATATAGCGCCGTCAATTTATACAGTGCTTTACATGGCAGTACTCGGGTCGCTGGTCCAAATCCCAACCACGGCACCACCTGCCTGGACTCTGCATGTTCTCCCCGTGCCTGCGTGGGTTTCCTCCAGGTACTCCGGTTTCCTCCCACATTCCAAAGACATGCTGGTAGGTTAATTGTCTCCTGTCTAAATTGTCCCTAGTATGTGTATGTATGAATGTGAGTTAGGGACCTTAGATTGTACGCCCCTTGAGGGTTAGGGACTGATGTGAATGTACAATATATATGTAAAGCGCGGAGTACATTGATGGCGCTATATAAGTACCTGAAATAAATTAAAATAAATATTGTCACACATTCCCTAACCCTGAAGGGGCGTACAATCTAGGGTCCCTAACCCTGAAGGGGCGTACAATCTAGGGTCCCTAACCCTGAAGGGGCGTACAATCTAGGGTCCCTAACCCTGAAGGGGCGTACAATCTAGGGTCCCTAACCCTGAAGGGGCGTACAATCTAGGGTAACCCTGAAGGGGCGTACAATCTAGGGTCCCTAACCCTGAAGGGGCGTACAATCTAGGGTCCCTAACCCTGAAGGGGCGTACAATCTAGGGTCCCTAACCCTGAAGGGGCGTACAATCTAGGGTCCCTAACCCTGAAGAGGCGTACAATCTAGGGTCCCTAACCCTGAAGAGGCGTACAATCTAGGGTCCCTAACCCTGAAGGGGCGTACAATCTAGGGTCCCTAACCCTGAAGAGGCGTACAATCTAGGGTCCCTAACCCTGAAGAGGCGTACAATCTAGGGTCCCTAACCCTGAAGAGGCGTACAATCTAGGGTCCCTAACCCTGAAGGGGCGTACAATCTAGGGTCCCTAACCCTGAAGGGGCGTACAATCTAGGGTCCCTAACCCTGAAGGGGCGTACAATCTAGGGTCCCTAACCCTGAAGGGGCGTACAATCTAGGGTCCCTAACCCTGAAGAGGCGTACAATCTAGGGTCCCTAACCCTGAAGGGGCGTACAATCTAGGGTCCCTAACCCTGAAGGGGGCGTACAATCTAGGGTCCCTAACCCTGAAGAGGCGTACAATCTAGGGTCCCTAACCCTGAAGGGGCGTACAATCTAGGGTCCCTAACCCTGAAGGGGCGTAATCTAGGGTCCCTAACCCTGAAGGGGCGTACAATCTAGGGTCCCTAACCCTGAAGGGGCGTACAATCTAGGGTCCCTAACCCTGAAGGGGCGTACAATCTAGGGTCCCTAACCCTGAAGGGGCGTACAATCTAGGGTCCCTAACCCTGAAGGGGCGTACAATCTAGGGTCCCTAACCCTGAAGGGGCGTACAATCTAGGGTCCCTAACCCTGAAGGGGCGTACAATCTAGGGTCCCTAACCCTGAAAGGGGCGTACAATCTAAGGTCCCTAACTCACATTCATACATACACATACTAGGGACAATTTAGGCAGGATCCAATTCACCTACCAGCATGTCTTTGGAGTGTGGGAGGAAACGGGAGTACCCGGAGGAAACGCACGCAGGCACAGGGAGAACATGCAGACTCCAAGCAGGTGGTGCTGTGGTTGGGATTTGAGCCAGCGACCCGAGTACTGCCAGGAGGAAGTGCTAACCATTTAGCCACTGTGCTGCCCATTTTTTTTTCCTTTTTGCATGCTAGTCTAATATCACAATACGAATTGGTTATTAAAGTTCCCAAAATTCTCATTGGGCTCCATGTACACTGCAACTGATAAACGCACATTTAGGAGCTTTTCTGTTTTTTTTTTTTTTTCAGCAGCCCCTGAACTCTCCCTAATGTTCTCCTATGTATCCATATACACATCTTCGTTTACAGGCAGTTGAGTTTACAGTCGTTTTTTTTTTTTTTTTTTTTTTTTTTTTTTTTTTTTAACGTGCCAAACTTGCGTTCAGAAGTAGATTTTATCAGCATTTCAAATGCTTGTAAACGCGGCTAACTACGTTTATAAGTGTTTCTGTTTGGAAATTGTTTTTTAACTCTTCCATTTCCAGATGCTGTCCGGAGCCTTTTTTCATCATGAAAAATGCATGCAAAGCGTTTTCCTGGTACTCAAATGGACCCGGTACACCATACTTTGAGGTTTTGCATGAAAGAAAATATGTCGGACATTGCTGCAATAATGTCTGCAGAGAAATGAGCCGGAACATCCAAACACCACAAAAAGAAAAAAGACAGCTAATCTCAACACATACTGCTCTCTCTGCTTCTGATCTCTTTATTTCTTTCAAAATGTCTGAAATAGTTAATTTTTTACTATGTTTCAGTGCATTCTGGGCATTTTGGAAGGTCTCCTGAGGTTGTCTTTAAAAAACACTTCTAAACACAAACGCTCATAAACCAGTATGCAAACGCGGCTAAACAGATGGTTTTTAACCTACGGTTTCCATCGTTCAGAAGTGTACATGGGGCCGAAGACAGAAACATTTACAAAAATGTAAATATATTATCTTTTCATTTCTGAGCATGCCCAGTCTTGGTCACTTTTTTTTTTGTACAAATACTATACTAATTATATAAAAATCGTTCGTTCTGTTATCTTTCGAGAAAAAGTTTCGTGCTTGTTCCTTCAGATGTTTTCACATGAACTGTCAAAAGCTGTGTACTAATGATCAGATTATCGGACAATCGGGGGTTTTTTTTTTGTGATTTTTCTCATTGTGTGCACCAGCCATAGGGCTCAGCAAGCGCAATCTGACCATCAACTTTAGATCTATAAAAACGATGTAATGTGACCTATCTAATGTATACAATCAGTCTGTAAATGATTAGGCAGACCCTTGACACTATATAATTGAGGTTGTACAATCAGATTGTAAGGTGTGTGTGTGTGTGGTGAATTTTAGTTTTAGGCCCCTTTCACATGGCTGTTCCATTTTTGTTTTGTTTTTTTCATCCCATTTTTGGTCATTTATAGTCATGTTTCATCCCCATCTTACCACACTGCTCTACTGCAATGTACCCCGCGGCTACACGGGCCAAGCGCCCCGACCTACCCCGCGGCTACACGGGCCAAGCGCCCCGACCTACCCCGCGGCTACACGGGCCAAGCGCCCCGACCTACCCCGCGGCTACACGGGCCAAGCGCCCCGACCTACCCCGCGGCTACACGGGCCAAGCGCCCCGACCTACCCCGCGGCTACACGGGCCAAGCGCCCCGACCTACCCCGCGGCTACACGGGCCCTACCGCCCCGACCTACCCCGCGGCTACACGGGCCCAAGCGCCCCGACCTACCCCGCGGCTACACGGGCCACCGCCCCGACCTACCCCGCGGCTACACGGGCCTAGCGCCCCGACCTACCCCGCGGCTACACGGGCCAAGCGCCCCGACCTACCCCGCGGCTACACGGGCCAAGAGCGCCCCGACCTACCCCGCGGCTACACGGGCCAAGCGCCCCGACCTACCCCGCGGCTACACGGGCCAAGCGCCCCGACCTACCCCGCGGCTACACGGGCCTACCGCCCCGACCTACCCCGCGGCTACACGGGCCTACCGCCCCGACCTACCCCGCCGGCTACGGGCCTTGGCACCGCCAACCCGCCCTACCATGGCCTTAGCGGCTGCTACGGCACCCTATCACATCCTTCTGCCCTGTACACTATCCCCTCCCTCCTAGATTGGGCTCCAAGGAGCAGGACCCTCGAACCCCTCGTGTATCGCATTGTATTGTTACTGTATTGTCTCCCACCGCCCCGCTGAGCAAACTGTCGGCACTATATAAATCCCGTATAATAATACTATGGCTAGCACTCCAACCACTGACCTCCAAAGAATTCCCTATTGTATACCCGGCAGTGGTAGACAGTAAATATCTGTAGTCACCCCGGTGGATACGTCTGTTTATATCACGCACTGCCATACTAGTAGTAGTAGCGCTAGCAAAGTATTTACCTTCTACATAATGATGGCATTTTAGAGACCCCGCTAAGTAAAACACACAGCTGTACGTCTTTTGCTGTCCCTTTTCTTGTCCTTTATCCTCACAGCCAAGGTTAAATGTTCTCCTGTTATTATTTTACTTTTGTACAAAGAACAAAACTTCCCCATTCTACTCTGAAGTGGAGGAACTAGACTGACTACATGCAAAGTACATTTTTTTACTGTCAGATTCTTAGTCAAATTCTGACCTGTTTTATCAGGATATGGTTACTTGTGACATTCACATATGTTTTTGCAAAAACTTGAGGAAACTTAAAAAAAAAAAAAAAAAAAAAAATATTTTGTAAAAAAAAAAATAAACAAACAAACAAAAAACAGATTCCGCAGGGAGAATAAAGGGAAAGGACAGGCTTTTTTTTTTAAACTGAAAATATATATTTCTTTATGTGCATAAAATCTTGTTTTACATTGGAGCCATATAGAACAGGGTGTAGGGTTGTGTGAGTTGCTCATCTGACTCATTCAGCTGTGTGTGTAATCTGAGCTTCACCTTGTCAGCTCCTGAAGCTATATTTGCCCTTTCTTGTTTGAAAAAAATAATCTGTGTAACCACGTGATAAAAAACTCGATCTAACCCTGTTCAGCTCTATACTTGTGGAGTGTAATCCAGAGCCAATGCTACAACCAGCTGAAAGCGACATGTGCCTCCCGAGCAACTAGTCTGGAATTGGTGATT